AAAAAAAAATATTAAAACTGTAAATATACAGTCATATATTTGTATTACCGTTTTACTGGCAATAAATGAGTTAAAACTATTCTATCAGGTTCATTGAACAGATTTATTTACCATTGATCAGACGAAAGGCATTCTGCAACTCACATGAGTCACTTGCAGTCAGATGTCAACGTTCAATTCATTTATGACCACTGGCCAGACATTAACATCACATTTGGCAGTTCTTTCAAAAAGCTATAAACACAAGATCATAACACTTGTCTTAAATTGTTTTATTTATAAGCTTTTTTCAAACCTTTGATTTTCTCCACTGGGTTTCCTCCACTGCTCTAGGCCAGAGCTCCACATGTCTCACCAACATCTTCTAGATTCTGGCTTTCACCTAGCAAAACACTAGCGGTCTACAGATAAATTTTTAGTTTGATTCACAACCAAAATGCAGATTTTGAATGTTCAGCAATGCCTGTACACTGTAGTTTAATTCTCGTGTGTCATGACAACTTTAAAGACAGTACAATTTTTGCACTTCAAACTAGTTTACCTAGTTGTGCATGATATTTCTATGTCCAAAGATTAGGACTTTTACATATTTGGTGACACAATGGCAACATTATAAAAGGTAATGTCTTTTGACTAGTGATGGGTCCAGCAACACTGATGCGTGGGTGCATGCGTGGAGAGCATAGAGCCAAACATTGTATTGGTGCGCGTGTTGCTTCAGGAGTTGTTTCTAACTAATTGACTCACTAAACTTGGTTTAAAAACGTATCTGTCAATATGATGCATCTGCTAAAAAAATATATCTCATCTTTTGCGGTTTATCATTAAAATTATCAATAATTTTGTAGCAGCCCAAAACAAATAGGAACGTTTCAGCTGTTGCGTTTTGTATTTTACTTTTCTCGTTTTGTCATTCTTTTCCACTCAGTTATCACTCAACTTATCTGAATTTAAGTTAATTTCAAATTAACTCTTACTTTATTCACTGTTTTTTTCTGTACTTATTGTTTTAAAAGTATGATTTAAAATCCTAGTCCACAAGCATCCTCATTCACATTTTCCCCTAGATTTTCACATTATATGTTTACCTAATTTATTGGCTGCATCAAAAAAATCAAAGATATTTTCAGTTTAAACACCAACATGAAATAATACGATATAACCTACAATCACTTAAATTATATCATTGTACTAGGTTGTCAAATCAAGAGTCTTTAAATGTCTAGCTGGTGTCGGTATTCTGTGTGACAGTTTTAACGCAGTATCAATACAGTTTGGCAATGTGTCGAAACACTTCAAGATGCCTCATTAACCCATCACTACTTCTGACTCTTGGCTTACCTGAAGCGTCACTTTTTGCCTTCTTAAAAATGAAGTCCCACAAATTGCATTGTCTTTGCCGCTTCGCCATGATGCTGTTCAGCATGGCCCTCTGGGCCATCGTAATTTGGTCAGGCTACTTGTAAGCGTACAGCCTGCCAAATTTGAAAGGGCAATATTATTGCCATTACTGTTAATATTAATATAGTAGACATTTACATATTCAGTGATAAAATGTTATGGGGGAATGGTCATTTAAGAAGGAGGAAGATTTTTAAGATTTTTTTTAAAAAGGGGTTGCCATCCCCTCTCAACTCGAGTATTGAATATAATACCCACAATAAGAACTACAAGCAGTAATGCTGGCTGCCGTTTCCAGTCATCTGTTATTATGGGTTTAACTTTTTCCATCAGTCGCTCTCTTACTCCATTATGACTTTAATTGACTCTTGATCAAAGGATAATTTTACTGATGAGGGATTGATAAGACAGTTAAATATACCAGTTAAACCACTGAACTTTCAAATGGCGTCTGTGGAAAGCTCCTGTATTCTGTCACTGGCCTTCTAGGCTTATGTTTGAGTTTCTTTTAAATTTTTCAGTTCCACTTTGATTTATGTTATTCAGTTTTTTTGTCTTGCATTGGTTACTTTAACAATTTGTGTTATATTTATGCAATTTTGTATTTCTTGGCTTACTATCTGTTGCTCCCTTGTGCCTGTTTCCTTTCCCCTTGGCTCCCTTCTAATCACTTCTATCCACACCTGCTCCATATAAGTTTATTTGCCCATTTTCTGTTCTGTTGCTAATATATACACCACCTCTGCAGTTCCATATTGTTGGTTTCTTGTTGCTTTTTTGTTACTCGGCTCCCTGGTATCTCCTGTTTTCTTTCTTTTCTGTATTTTGATTTTTGGATTTTTGCCTCTGTTGCCTCTGGAATTTTCAATTAAATCAGCAAAACTAATCTCTGCCTCCTCATCTCTTAATTTGGGTCCTCAAAAACCTCCAGCAAACATTGACAATTTAGATTATTTCAGGAAGCCACAGGTAGTAACTCAGCTTTAAGGTATTGTTTTCCTATAGATTTAGGACATCCTTGACTAAGACTTCATAACCCCATACTGATTCTTTGGCTGGAATGCTAAGTAGCTGGTATCTCCCCTGAACTATCAACTGCCCTCATTCTGCCCAAACCAACAACTTTTTTTTCCAGTAAAAAACATAAATACCATAATTTGGCTGAGGGTTTTAGCACAACTCAGGCCTTCCCACTGCCTGCACAACGACCATATTATTGCTAAATAGATCTCCTGCCAGACATGCGTCTTTCTGCCAGTCACCTGTACAGCCTTTCTAAACAGGAATGCAAAGTCATGCAGGCCTGATTTTCAGACTAATGAAAAAATTCTTAGTTGGTCATCCTCTACATGGCACATAATTCTACATTGACTTTAGAGGGATTTATGATGTCCCTATTAAGAAAAAATAGAGATTACCACTCATGTTCTCTGTATTGGCACTACATCTTGGAGAAACTGTGTTTACTAAGCATGACCTATGTAATTCTTATCACCTGGTCCACATTTGTGAGGCGGGTAATGAACAGCTTTCAAACTACCATAGGTCATTTTGTATAGGCAGTCGTGCCGTTTGGTGTAACAAGCAGTTATATGTTTTTAATCCCAATCATATTAAGGGGAATCTGTTCTTTAATTGATCCCCTTTGTCTTACATTCTGCCCCGTCTGAACCGAGTACTCAGATTGCCCAATTAGCTAGAGTGATTTCATTAACCACAGATCCTACCCTGTCCAAAAAGAGACAGCCCAGTGAATAAATCTGATCTAGGACAGTTTACTCAGTCCCTTTGTCCCACCGTGCCTGATGTGTAAAATGCAGCTCATCTATATGGCAGCTTTGATTGGCCAGACCCCCCTATGCAAGAACCCCCTAGCATGCCAGTCCCCGAACTAGAGCAAATAAGCGTTCCAGAGCTCATTAGCGGGCCAGTCCCCAAGCCAGAACCCATTAGTGAACCAGTCCTCCCTTCTCCTCAGTAGCCTTCCCCCAGTGTCCTAGCCACTCAGTCAGCTCCACCCATTGTCCTAGCTCCACCATCTGAGCCTATTAGCATCCCCACTTCTCCAAGGCCCCTTAGCCGGTGGCCCCCTCCGAGGCTCCTTTGCTGCAGTCGGCGGCCCCCACTCTGAGGTTCCTGCACCGCAGTCGGTGGCTGCTGCAGCGACGCCGTCCTCCAAGGCTCCAGCTGCAGACACAGGGTCCCCCAAGGCTGCAGAGACGTCGTCCTCACAGTCGTCCTCCAGAGACCCCCTTTCCTCGCTGGCCTCACTGCCGACTTCCTGAGACTCTTCCTCGTCTTCAGCCTCATGGCCAGCCTCCAGAGACTTTTGGTTTCCAAAACTACCCACCTTTGTTTTGCTTTTTGGACTCTATTTTTGGCTTTTGTTTCGTGAGCAAAAAGCAGCAGAAGATGCTGTGTTTACATGATGATAAAGGTTGACTGATTTAAAATGTACCACTGAGTGCATGGCAGCTTCTTTCTCTTCTTTCTCTAATTACATACTTCTCAATAATCTGCAGTATGGTGTTCACTTTTGCAATTTGAACATTTTAAAATCAAGCAGAAATGTAGTATTTTCTTTGATCTCCAATTTATTTTCTACACAATTCTAAATAAGGATATAATGATGTTTATTTGTCTTGGTGAAATGACTAGGGACAAACTATTCAAAAAACAATTCATAACTTATATGTATTAAATAACAAGGAGACAGGAGAACAGATTTTGATATAAATTGTAATCTTATTCAGATCAGAGAAGTTACAGAATTTACTGAATGGCAGCTGCCCACCCTCTCGGTTCACCTGTCAGGAAGTGGCCCCAATTAACAGTTAAAAAGGCATTTTATTTGTCTCCAGTCTGCCACATGATCACATTTTCCATCATACACGTTAGCAGATGAATAGACATAATGGCTGCAGCCTTATCAAAATATTCCAATTTGCTCTTAGTTGATGGACACCACACTGATGTCATTCTCAAATATTTGCCACGTAAGAAATGAAGATTATAACTGTATCAGAGGAAATGTCTTAAGCTGATAAACTATTGTGGAAAACATGAGTTCTGACATGCAACAGGCAGCCAATAACAAGGTGTAATAAACTCAAACATCATCAATGATAATAATCTTAACAGTATAATGGGGATCTTAGTTCCCTCATTCAATATGTGAGTCTAAACAACAAGCATGAAAAAAGCAAAACTGCACTAATGCTTGTGAGCCACTATGTCTGCTGAGTTTTGCTTAACATATGTTGCTCTGTAGACTTCTATTCACTGAATAAAATAGTTAATTTCAGCATTGTTATAACATAAGTACAAACAGGTACTTTTAAACTATCATAAAAAGTAAGTAAAAACATAAACGTTCCTTTTTTTTAAGATAAAATTGCTCCATAACAAAGGGTTAAATTAGCTCAAAATGTACTTATGAAAACGCAAACCAAAGATTAAACTAAATACATAAAGAAATAGGATATCATTTTACTTGTGAATAAACACTTTCATCCATATTTTTCTTAATACATCTAATGGTTGCTTTGCTTCCTGGAAACTGCAGTGCTGCGTAGTCCAGGTCATTTCTATCTTCATCCTATGCATAGAAAAAAAAAGAATAAAATTGAAGTCCCTAGAAACATCTTATGTCAATAAAAGACTGTTTTTGTTCTATAGGAGTACATACAATATGGTCTTCCTTTTGGCCAACATCATGTCCGTGGCTTGATTTTTTGCCTTAAACAAAATAACACATTTAATAAATTTTTCTATAAGATTGGAAGTAATCAGACTGAAATATTTCAAAAAAGTAAGAGGAAAACCTAAATTACTAAATGATAATTTAGCCACAAAAAGAATGTTTATTTTTTTATTTTTGTTTAGAGTCATATGGAACCGGCTGTTCCAACGTTTGCAGTTCCGAATTGTCCCGAGTGGTGCAGACTTTACACGTGTGAATAAAGTAAATGTGTTTTGTCAATTATCATAAGGTCGGGATTGTTGTGGCGGAAGGTTCGCAAGCAAGTTGGTTGTGGCTGGTATCTCGGAAGCATCTTGCTGACCAGTTAGCAACTAAGAGCTAGTAGGTTCCCGATGGGAAATTACATTGGGACCAAGTAGCCCTTAGCAATGACACTGTCAAGGATCGCTAAGGACATGCAAGATGAGGAGGGTTTTGTGTTGGAGGTCCTAGGATTAGCCTCCTTCGTCATAATTTTTTATTTAGAGGAGGAAAGCAGGGACACAGTTGTTGTGGAAGGGGACGCCAGGGCGGCAGAAGCTTTGTTTGGTGTAGAAGGCTTACAGCCGTACATGTTTGAGCCCTTGCCTCACAGCGCTGCCACTTCTGTTAGCTTTACGCCTGCTGAAGACACAGATGTCCATCCCCGTGAACACTGAGATATAAAGTAAATGATTCTTATTTCTACCGTTGCGTGTATTAGCTGTGACATATGAATCAAGATGCTATGACTGAAAAAATTTATTGACATATGACCGTTAATATGTGATTGGCCGAATTTAGGTGTACAAGCTGACATATGACACCTGGCCTGCATAAAACAAAAAAATAAAAAACACAGATTTTAAGATAGGATTTTTTTTTTAAATAGAATTTTCTAACTTTTGGGTCAATAAGGTCTGATAAAGAGTATATTTATATATATGTTTAAGCCAGAATGATTTGACATTTAAATATGACTTCCCTATGACTTAAAACAAAAGTACCCTGCTCATGAACAGTGAATCAATATACATGTTAAAAGGTTCCGAATTCTTAGAGAAGATTTACTGAACATTACAGAAAACACATGATTTCAGTGATTGCCTCAAAGTGTTGCTCAACAAAAATTTAGTTCAGGAGCTCCACCAGGCTGCATATACTGTAAAAACATATATACAAAATCGGTGTCGTGATTTCGGTTATTTTGCATTTTTATTTATTAGTACTTTGCTCAATTTCAATTTATTTTACTGGCATCTGATTTTTTTTTTTTCTGTCTTTAATGGAACGGTATGTACTGTAATCCCAAGCATAAAGTCATTAGGAATAATACGTCAAACAAATAGAAGACCTTTAGACTGAATTCAATAAATAAACCTCACCTTTAATCTGTTTCTTGGCTTTTTTAATGGATAGGTAGCATGCAATTGTAATATGTAAAATAACAGAAATAATCAAGCAAATTTTTAGAGTCACCAGTGTGATAAATGAAGAGTTTAAAGATTGATCTAGAAAAGAAACAAACAAAAAAAACTTTTTAAGAGATGTTTTAAATGAACATTTCAACTTGGGTAGAAAAATAAAAATCTTACCAACTCCAAGAGTAGTCCCATCACCAAATAATATTTCTCCACATGTGGCTAGGGCACAGTAGTATGTCCCAGTCTCAGAGATACTGACATTCTTAGAGAAGCTATAAACACATTTTCTATCATGTTTCTTCATACAAACATCCTGAGGGACTCCACTGGTGAATACAATTTCTGGGTAAGAATTACTTGATCTGGCTCTAAACCAGAACACCTGGAGCTCTCCTGGACAAGTCTTGGTCTGAGAGCCAGACAGAATTGAACACTCCAGAGTTTCAGTTTCTTCCACATTTACTGTATTTGCGGTTCTTGATCTCTGCACAATTGTGTAGTTTATTGTTTTCTTGATATTTCCTGTGTGGCACAAAGTAACATTAGAAACATGCAAAATAATACAACAGTGAAAAAATTTATTATTTTTGTTTCTAAGAGAGCAAGTAGACGTGAGACTAGCTTTTTTTCTTTTTGTGTACTATACAATACTCTTAATCTACACAGGAATAATTTTACCTCGGCTTTGCCTTAAAAAACAAACTACCCTTGCAAAGTATTGTTATATTTGTTGTCTTCAAAAATATTATGGTACTTAGAGTAAAGAGTTTTTCTACAAAAAAAATGTTTAAAAGAATATGTAAAAGGGATCATAAAAACATAGAAAATATGTATAACCTTCTTAATAACCAAAGCATTGCATTAATTGCTTTTAAGTGTTTCTAGGGGTGTTAAAATCAGATATTGGTACAATAATACATGGGTAAATTGTTTTTATACCTTTTGTTGTTGACAATGGTTCTCTGTTTTAGTAAGGCTTAATTAGTGTCACTTGATCAAGCCTTTTCTAACATTCTACTATACAAAATAAGTTAAAAAGGTTTGCATAACTTATGCTAATGTAGTATTGGGTCAATATTGGCTGGAATATTGGTATCATATCAGAAATGAAAAAGTTGCATTGGGACATCCCTGGTTGTTTCCACTGGTATTTTGATCATAAGAGTGCTGACAGATTTTGTAGCAGATTTAAATTAGGATTTTGCTTAAACCTCTTTAAACGGTTGATTTAAGTTTAAGTCAGAAGAAACACTATTAAACTATTAAATACTATTAAATGAAAAAAATAAAAATAAAAACAAACTTTCCATTCAAATATTCCAGGTATTTAGGACTAAACTGTTAATACAAGGTCGGAGTATAAAAAAAGTAGAAACATATATACCTCTCAGTGACAAATAGGTTCCACTCCACGTATTCTCAGTCCAATCAAGGACTGCACAGTGATACATTCCCTCATCTTCTTCAGTGGTCCTCAAAATTGTGAGATTACTGACTTTCTCTAAATACGTTATCTCCAGTCTTGAGGCTAAAACCCCTGGTCCATATTTAGGGGCTGTGTTTTTTCGCAGCATTGTGATCACCCTCAGAGTATCTCCAGTACTCTGCTTGTACCAGTGAATACTTTTAATTCCCAACCATTCTTTTGGTAAATCACATGTCAAGGTTGCAGGTTCACCAAGAGTTACTGTGATCACTGGAACTAATGTGCCTTTATAAGAACAGATTTAGAAAGAAAAATAAAGTTACAGTGCCGTGCAATTTTTTTTTTAAACAATTTTAAAGGTAAATATTTCTAACAAAACATTAAGTAGACTTGTAAATAAGATATGTATTTATCTAGTAGAACTTACGTCCTTGATGAACAAGAAGCAGTGTGACCCAGAGGAGAATCATCTTCACAGTGTCTTCATTTGGACACTTGTTTATCTTTAAGTAAAAAAGGAGGTGTGGTAATCGAGAAGTCTATGCATCTGATTGGTTATCGCTAAATATACTCTGTCTTCCTTACTCATCCCCTGAGTAAAAACCCTTTTGCTCAATATGTTTAGGGTTTTATAAAAACACACACAAAGAAACTGTATTATTTAGAAACAAAACAAACCTATTACAATACTAGTACATGTACAAATCTACTAGAATACTATACAACATATACTATATACAATAATGATCTGTAACTTTTTTTTTTTCCTTTGAACAGTACTTTTACAAGATAAATTTTCTTGTGTGTTTTTTAAAATCTAATTAAACCCAAAGCATACAAATAACGCTATTCTGCTTGGAAATACATACAATTTGTCTTAAAACTATAATTAAACAAAAGCCAAATTTTTACTGGTTGTTTATAGATTTGTTTATTATACTGAATTATACGCTAGTAATCCAAACAATTATTGATACGCAATGTTTCATTTTTACTGGTCATTTTGTTTTTGATGTGTCTGTCAAGTTTTTTGTTTAGATTTGATCTTTAGATGTGCAATCCCCACTTGAAAGGGAAGTCTCTTCTGTTAAACATAACTGGCATACACTCAAGGAGTCTTCATTTTATTCATCTTTATTATGATGGTCATCATTTTCCTCTAGTCACACAGGTGAAAACCCTCAAAAGAGACAAAACATCTAATTACATTGAGAAGTCAACAAGACAAAAAAAATAAAATCAATTTTAACCAATCTAAATAATTTAATCATAAACAATAATAAACATTAAGTATTATATAGTGAAGTTAAACAGCAATTAATAAATTAGCATTTTTATCAAGATTTTTTCACATTTAACTAATAAACACCAAGTGTATTTTTTTCCCTTTTAATAATATTAAACAATCAAAGAGATAATGAGGGTCAGTCCATGTGAATGAGCAACTGTAATCAGCTTACTGGCTGTCCTTCACAGTTCTTAGAAAGTTTTTGCAGGGTTTGCACTTTGCATGTACTACCACAACTTTTTGGCTTGCATGCTGTGCTACTTCCTCAAACAAGAGTGAGAGGTCAGCCACACCAAAAATACACTCTTTAATAGCCAGAGATTGGGTCCGCCTGGTTCCCATCTCCAGCAGGCAGAGCAGAAAGAAGCAGCCGAGGAGATTGGCAGAGGGGAGTGGCTTCCTGGCAGTTCACCAGAACAATGTCAATATATTCTTGTTTAGTTTTTTTTTATTTTTCTTAAGTGTATTGACTTAAGC